GTGGACTCTAATGCAAGCTCAAAATATCACTTCCTGCCTGTTTATTATCATTACTGTGCAATGGAATTTTACCACATTTAACATTATCTGAAATATGTTCCAAATTTCATTTGTTTCACATGAGAAATATATATATATATATAAAAATATCATTTTATATCATATATATATATATATCATTTTATGAAAAGAAGAAATGTAAGAAAAACAACAAAAAAGCACTCCACCCAGCAACAGCAGTGTATATATTCTTCTCAAGTATGCATGAAACATATCTTCAAGGTTGACCATACCCTGGATTATAAAACAAATACTACAGATTTTAAAAAATTGAAATTTTACAAGTATATTCTATGACCATAAAATAATTAAATTAAAATTGAGCAGAAAAATAACAAGACAATCATCAATCACTTGGAAATTTAAAGCATATTTTCAGTAATCAGTATTTCAAAAGGAAGTTTAAGGGAAATTTCAAAATATTTTTAAATGAACAAAAATAAAAATTTTAAAACTGTTTATTTCAAGCAGCTCCTATAATGAAATCATTCTAATCTTCTATCATTCAGTGCTGGTAAAAATAAAGAACATAAGGCCTCAAATCAATAATCTAAGCCTTTACCTTAAGAGACTGAAAACAAAAGGAACAAACTAAAGAATAAATTCCTTACTGTAACCATGGAGTTATCTTTATTTAATTGCTTTTCTATCAACTTTTACTACTATATTCAGAAACCCTGTTATTAGGCGCATAAAACATTTTGTTGTGTCCGCTTGATGACTTGATCTCTCTATCATGAAATGAACTTCTATGGAAGTGGAGCCTTAAATATTATAATTTTTGTCAATTAAGAAATTGAATCCTGTTTTTTTTTCCATTAAATGTCATCACACAGTTTCCTTTTTTACTTAAAAGCAGGCAGAAGACTGAAATGGCTGTGTTCACTAGTGTGGTCTGGCAAATATTTCTGATGATGTTCCTTCTGGATTCTATAGGATAGCATATCCCTTATGCTGTGTGACTACTTCTGACCAATGAGTTGTAAGCAGAAAGCATTATGTCATTTTAGAGGCAGACCACTTCATTACCAGTTCAAGACCCATCAGCCTTCTCATTTACCTCTGGCAGAATGACTGACAGGTCAAAATGTTGCTGTTTGCACTGACTACAGTGAGCAGAGATTTTCTTGCCAATCAGTGGTGAACATGCAGAAGAATTAAAAAACAGAATATTTTTTGAGCCATTGGGATTTGGCATTGGTTATGAATACAACATTACTTCCCCACTGATACACTTAATATAAGTAGATACGAAAAAACTCAGTAAAACAAAAAATAAAGCTATAGGTTAGATAAGTTAACAAAATGACCTAAGGACTGAAATATGCAAGTACTTCCAACCAAACATTTTACTCAAATCTTGCAATACAAGAGTTTGATTTTTTAAAATGTGAGTTTTGGCATTGTAATTAATACTAAATTTCAGCCTTAGACATCGAGGAAAAATGTTTAGGTGATGGTAAGACCAATACAAAGGTCTTAGCAACCTCAAATGCAAGTTTGCCTAAATACCTGCAGTATAAATGTTGATATTGTATTATGAATGAGAAAATATCTCTTTTAGAGAAAAAAATATATATCACAAGTATGGCACTTCCTTTATATATCTGTAATTAAAATGAACTTTAGGCCTATTCCTATTGTTAAACGGACCACTTATTTTTGTGTGTGAAACCAATGACATTCTAAGGATAAATTAGCTATAAAAGGAATGACGGTTAAGTATGTTTAAAATTAGCAATGCTGTTAAACTAAAAATATTTTAAATTTTTCATTTTAATAAATGACAATAGAGAATGTCAGAAAATGTGTATGGATTGTTTTGGGAAAACAGAAGAGTATGAGAAATTATCTATTGAAGTTTATTTTCATTATTGTCAATGGTTTAGAAAAATGTTTTCAGACTAATTTGTAGGTTTTTTGTCAGCTTTTAAAATGCCTTCATGATTTGTCATTTCTCTCAAGTAACGAGAATGTAAACTATTTCTTTTGTCTCTCTGATTCATTTAAAATTTGAGGAAGTGGTGTTTTTTTTAATCCATTTAGATAAATTGTTGCTTAACAAAGAGATGTCCTCAAATCTGAGCCATTCCTAAACTCTTAAGTTAATTTTATGCAAATGTTTATTTTAAAATAATACAGCAATATTAAATACAATAATTACCGGCATTTTCATTCATTTTTTTGTAAACTTAATGCAGCAAATGTTTTGATGTCTCTGTTTCCTCATTGTAATTTTGCTACATACCTGTAACCATAAACATATAAATTGTTCTTTATTTTACTTATTTCTTTGAGTTCCATATCATTACATTGTCTTCATATTTAACAAACTTCCATTCTGAACCTGTCTTGAGATTAAACCTGAAATAGACAGTTTGCAGGTTCTTAATAAAGCCCTGGATATGCTTCAATATTCCTAGCAATGCTGAGATGCAGCCATCTGGACCACAGCTTCCTGATCCCAATGGCTGAGTTTGGGAGTGTTTTCAACATCCTTTAGAGCAGGTTAAACGCTAAAATGATGAAATATAATTCAATCAGATTAAACACTGTCACAAGGTGGTTGGTTTTCCTTTGAGTGATCAGATCAGCACCCTCCATTTTTTTTTTTTTTTTTTTTTTTTTTTTTTTTTTTTTTTTTTTTTACCAGAACTATTATACTTGCTGTCCTGCCTGTAGTCTCTGCTGTCTTCAATGTATTGTCTGCCTGCTGCCGGGGGGAACGTGTAAACACAGTTCTGTCTTTCTCATCATTGACAATCTGTGAGGAACTTCACACTGACTACAGGCTAATGTCCAAATCCCTTAGAATCATTTTCAGGATCCTGCATGATCTGTTCTCAACATACAGACTCATCTATAAAGACGCCCCTGATTCTTTCAGACAAAGTTAGTCATACTTCCTTCCAGCTCTCTGCCTCTGGGCCATCTGTTATGTCACTTGTCTGATTTGATTCTGATAATTTTATGTATCTGTCCACGGGTCTGTGAATCCTTAAGGCAAGAAACCCTCACCCCCGAGACACACAACTCAGTCACTGACACCCTTGGAATCCACCGGAACTCTACAACCTGGGCCCAGGCCACTGACTCCTTTGTAGGACTTGAGCTCTGCAGGCTGGCGCTATTGCTTTTCCCCAAGTTGATGGTGCATGGAGGGGAGTGCTCCACCCAAGAAAGATGGTGTCTGCGGTGTGAGACAGGCACTCAGCTCAGGTGCCCTGGTGGCTGCCATTCAGCTCTCTCCCTGGAGCCACACACCTCAGTCTCTCCTCACATGACTCTAGCCTGCTCCTCTCTTCCTCCACCAGCACCCAGGGGGACTGCCTGCCAATGAGATTTGGGGTATTGGCCCTTTAAGAGGGTGCCCCAGTTTCTTGCAGACTCTAATCTCTCCCTGGCATACAGACACCCCTTTGATTTCACAGCCAGTCATTATGTGGGTACCTCTTTCTGGTTCTGGTGCTCTGGGCTAGGGAGCCCAGCATGGGGTTTAGATCTTGCTCCTCAGGGCAACTTATGTAGCTGAGACATCCGTCTGGATTCTCAGCTGCTGCCTGTGGGAGGGGGGCAGCCCTATTCCTATCTCCGCCCTTCCTGTCAGTTTCCATGTGCCGCCTCCTGTAAATTCTTGGTTATACGATTTCTGTTTCAGATAGTCTTTGGTTGGTTATTCAGGTTGGTGGTTCTGTATTTTAATTGTAATTCCAGTTTGGTCCTGGGAGGAGGTGAGTGTAACGTGCACCTACGCTGTCGCTCTCTTGAATCAATCACCTCTCTTTGGCTCTAAATGTAATCTTATTATGTGATTGTATCAGTGTATAATAATTGGGTATTAAATGTTCATTGATTTCATTTTAATACTGTGTTTTCCCCTGTATAGCCTTATATACTACCTAGCTGCTGAAACATACCACAACCAAAACTGATTAAGCATAATTATTAAAGAAGGTGAATTTCCAAAATTTTGTAGGAAATCCATGTAAAGGTTAACCACGATTTTAATGCATAAAATTTACCCTTCAACCTGGTTAAAAACTTAAAAAATATATGCTAAGGAAAAGAAGCTAGACCCAAAAGACTACATATTATATGAATCAATTTATATGAAATATACAGAATAGGTAAATCAATAGAGACAGAAAGGAGGTTAGTAGTTGCCAGGAACTGGTGGGAGGGGAGAATGGAGAAAGCAGTGGATACGGGGTTTCCTTTTGGAGTGACGAAAATGTTCTGGAATTAGTGATGATTGTTGCATAACATTGTGAATTTACTAAATGTCACTAATAGTAATTTTATGTTATGTGTATTTAACCACAATAAAATATGCTATTACTTAGTAAGCAGTCAATAAGTATTAGTTATCACTACTAAAAAAAAAAAAAAAAAACCAAAAAATTTACCCTTATTAATATATTTTTTAAGTTCACAAGAACACATTTTAATGTAATTCTTGCCTGGTATTTAAGGATACAAAAAAGGATACATAATTATTTTATTATGAATGATTGCGAGCCCTGGCTTGTGTGGCTCAGTTGGTTGGGCATAATCCTATGTACTGAGGGGTTGCCAGTTCGATTACTGGTCAGGGCAATGCCCAGGTTGTGGGCTTGACCCCAGGTGGGGGTTGGGCAGGAGGCAACCACTTGATGTTTCACTCTCACACATCAGTTTTTTTCTCCATTCCTCTCCCTTCCTCTCTCTAAAAATCAATAAAATTCTTTAAAAGAAAAAGAATGAGTGAGAAAAGGAATTAATAATGGGTTCCATGAATAAGCAGAGTAACTGTTAAGATGTACAAGCTCTGGCTGGAAAAGTAAGTATTAGACAAGGTCTAGTTTTCAAATCCTTCTGATAACGTAATATGTAAACAGCAATATGTAATATATTATAGTTTTGCATTTGACCTAGCTTTTTTGTCCCTTTATTATCTCCAGTTGTAAGCACAAGCTGTACCTGGAAATACTGCCAAACACCAGCATCATTATCCCATTTCATAATGAAGGTTGGACTTCACTCCTGCGTACCATACACAGTATAATTAACCGAACCCCGGAGAGTCTGATAGCAGAAATCATTCTAGTAGATGACTTCAGTGACAGAGGTAAGAGACAGTTTCAATATTTTATCCGATTCTGTTATTCACCTCCTAGACAAACATGATAGAGTTAAAATAGGCAGAAGGTTATTGTAATGTTTCTTTTTGATTCTCTCTGAAAAGTGATTACGGAGTTTTGCCTATGTTGTGATTTCATAAAATGTTGGCCAAATGCAAAATAAACAGAATGAGAAATTATTGTTGTCATTAGGAGAAGTATAAAAAAATCTGCATGACATTCCTGTTGTAAATTAGACAGGTGTTAGCAAATGTCTCAAATTTTACTTTCAGCTTCAGGACAAACACTGCAAAATATGTCCTGGTGAGTACTTATGAATAGTGAAATATTTCAGTAAAACTATAAAATCTGTTTCTGTTTCTGAAGATTATCTACTCTATTATTTATAAGTATGATACATTCTCTGGGTTATGCTTATGTTACTTCATAAATACTAAAAATTATAGTGAGACACAAATATTTTCTTTGGCAATTCTAGCTATTTTGTAATGTCTGAAAAAATAATAAAACAAATCTGGCTTAACAGTGTATTAGCAAATTTGATGTAAGTTTTAATAATTTAGCATTCTGATAAACAATTGGTTTTATAAGACAGGGGGATAAAATATAGAAACGTTCCTGAGATTAGGTTTTAACAATTATCTTTGGTCTAAATGAGAAAGTAGTTGATACTGCAGAGAAAACAAATTTTATCTTTATCTTTCTTGCTGGTGTGAGTGAAGAGGAGGAAACCTTTTCTAATGATATTCATCTATTTGAGGGTATAATTTTCTACCTTACTGCATGAAAGGGCTCTGCTTAACATGCTGTACAACTGTAAGAAAGAGTGATAGTAAAATAGTTTGATTGCATATTATTCTTATGCCTCACAAGAGAATACATCTTGAAACCATATGGGTTAATTGAAGTTTTGAAATTTAAAAACACCATTTGGATCAAAAAACACCATTTTCTTCATAGTATCCAAAAATTATGTAAAAGTAAAACTGCTTAGTATGTTAGTTTTCAGGTTTCTTTAAGAGAGTTCTAGTCTTCAGTGATTCACTTCAAATACTGACTCAGGATCTGCCTAATATTAACGTTGGTAGGACAAAAATAAAGTTGTCTAACATCATTCCATTAAAATAGTAAACTACCAACTTGGTGATTTACGCTGATTTTAAAGCAGGTTTTGCCTTGCCTTGCTTTGAAAGATGTGCATTCAATACTACCTAAGAGCATAGCCTAGTATCTAAACTTGAAATTTATTATTTAAAATTTTATTTCTGTAACATTGATTTCTTTTTTATTCTAATTGAGGCTATTTATTTCAAAACAGTCATTCTTGTCTCAGACTAAAAATAGGCATTTAATGTGTGAAAGCTAAAACTTTGCTTTTCTGTAAAGGAATGAACGAGGGAATAGCTATCTCAGGCTGTACACACCAAACAACTGGTCTTTTGGGTTGACTGGTACTCAGAGAGATCAGACGGTGTATCTGTGGAGAATTTTCTACATAATTAACTTTGTCTTGGTAAACTATTGATTACAGCAGAATTTTGACCTGGAGGTAACAGTAGGAAACACTTGGTGACAGGAAATTGTGGTTTGTACAACATTTTTTGCTGAATATTTCTCAGAGGTATTTTTTTTTTTATTGAAAGTCTTTAAAGAGATAGAAAATAGTGGCCTCTACCTTTGTCTTGACTTCAAATAACTGTCCTCTTCTGTACAGTAGTACTTCTGATGGACTATCCTGCAGGTAATGTTACCTGGGAAGTGAGTTCCAGAAGATTTCAATGCAATTACTGTTAGTAAAGTAACAGAAAAAGGATTATTTGGGATACTTATTGTGATTCTGACTTCTTTATTGAACATTTAAGAGAATAATAATATTAATGCTTTGGTAAATCATAGATATTCTATTCCTATGAACTCTCAAGTTGAAAGCATTGCTTTATGATCATTAAATTTTCAAAAGGTTAAATTATTTGCACATTGCATTTCATTATGTGAATGTATCAATATGTGTAAAAGTAAACTTTGCAAGAAATATTTTATGGAAGTACTCTGTTATCTATTAGAATACATTGTAATTCCAATGTTGCATGGATTAGGAGAGACTTTTCGTCCAAATTTATATCTCAGATTACAAAATCTCAACTGATAAAATACTAGGATTTGGGTAGACCTAAAAGATATCACCCTGCTTTTTGAATAATTTGAAATATAAAACATTAATAAACACAGGTTAGAATCTCATCACCAGTTATTATGACACCGGGTAAATTAACTAACTTCCCTAAGCCTCAGACTTTTCTTTTATCAACATAGGGCTAAGTAACTTTAGTTATGTAAATAGCTCCTCATGGGCAAGGTTTTGATGGAGAGCAATCTTGGATGGTCGAGTGAACTATGCACTACAGAGGAGAATAGTTCCTCTCAATTACTGATTTCTACTCACCAAATACTTCCCTGCTACTATAAGATAGACATTCTCCATACTGAGGAGATCCTCTCAATTTATCAGATCTAGTCCACAATAATTTATCTATCTATCTATCTATCCATTCATCCACCTATCTACCTATTATCTCCAGATGCAACAGAAGTCAGAGGGCACATGAAGACAAATTTTGGTAATGTGCACCGTGTTGGAAAAATCAGAACTGCATTAACATTTTAAAAACCTCTAAACCTATAAATAACTTGGTGATTTACTACATATTTTAAAGAAAAATTAAATTCTAGACTTTCATTAAAAGGAGAATAAATAGAACCCACCTAAAATTACATGAGTGGTCTTACATGAGTGTTGATTAAAATTCCTTAAAAGTTTATATTCACTTTTAGGAGGAAACTATCTTACAGCATCTCTTTTTACAGGGCCTCTAAGACAGAATGTTCTTCTTCCTTTAATTTTAATATTACCTATAGCCATGAAGTTAAAAGTTATTTTACTTTATATTGTAAAGTATGTTTATACTTTTTTGTGACAACTCAGAAATCATAAGCTTCTAATATATAAATGTTACATTTTATATTTATTTTTAGAAATATATTCCAATTCCAAGTCTGCATTTTTAGAAGTTCAGTATGCATCCATATCTTTGCACTATAGCTCTCCTGGTTATTCTGAAATATTCTTTGGCCAAGGGCAATACAATTTTGACAAGATTTATTCAGATATTGCTGCCTTATTGTTTATGTCCTCCAGGTCAATAGAGTAGTTATACATAAAAAAACCCCAAAAAACAAAACAAAACACACACACACACACACACACACACACACACACACACACACAAAATGAATAAAAGGAAAGTAAACGTATTATCCATGTTAATAACATACGGTTAATATCACTTGAAATTGCTAGTTCCAAAGATGTTAGCAATATAGTGATTGGAAAATTCTGGAGTAGTGGTTTCATAACAATAGAGAAGGAAAATACTACAATAATTTATAATTACTGAGTAATTATGAACATCGCAAAGTGATTTTTAAAAATCTACTTGAATAGGTTTGACCCAGTTATCAAAATGCTTTAAAAAAAGTGATTATCCCATCTAGTAGTCTCAGTTTAGATATTCTTCCTCGAGTTGGTAAACCGAATATTGTTTCAGTCTCAGGACGTAAGGCTACTGTCTATAACAACATGAAGGTGCATGCTTGCAGGTGAGTTTTCAACAATAGCACTATGTTTTTGCTATCCAAAGCTTACCAAAGTGAGTGAATGTGATTATATTTTTTTTTAGTAAGCTCTCAGAAATACATTTAACAACTTAACTTGGGGCCTATAACAAGGCTTTTTGATGACTTTAAAGCAGGACTAATCCTGGGCTTATCTCCAAATTCCAGGCAACGTTAACAGCATCCACATGGAAACTGTTGAAGTGTGTGAAATAAGCTGGGGCTTAACCTCAGAGATAGGATATATTTGAACCTGACAATTCTCTGAACCCAGTTTGCTTAGATGAATGCAAGTTCAAATTGTGGATAGTGCAGGAGAGTTGCTGACACACTTTTCTAAATGCAAGCATGGAAGTGCTGCTGCACACTGGATGCACTCACACACATTCACACTTGGTCAGTCGTTATTGCCCCTGCTTGTTTCAAACGTCCTCATCGGGAAAGGTAGGGAGTTGAGTTTCATGAAGACCTGTTACGCTCCACGTACTAGTCAGAGGGAAAATCATAGACTATAAACTATCCTCCAGTCTAGCAAAGCCAGCCACTAAAAAAATCCAGTGTACTTTTCTGCAGATGGCATGACTAGTTGCTGCCCAAAGTATTGCCCCCAGGCCAGCAGCATTACATTGAAGTTTAGAAGAAATGCAGAATCTCACGCCCCATCCAGTTAGATCAGAAGCTGCATTTTAATAGGATCTCTATGTAATTTTTATGCCAATCAGAGTTTCAAAATAACTTTCATGTGTTTCAAGTTGGGGTTTTATGATTCAGTGTGTAATATGGGTGTAACTGTGCATATTGTATTATAGATCTGTAAAGGAAAGGTTGAGATAGAATTTCATGTATTATTTTGCATTTATTATTTCTTTGATAGAATTCAGCATTTTCACAAATTTGTAGACATTTGCTCTGCTTTCGTATGAACTCATTTGATAGCATTTTATGTTCAATCTCACTTTACTGCCATTATTTTCTCCTTTGCCATTTTTCCTTCTTTGTTATACAAATGCCTTTTAACATTTTATAGATATATTTTGCTTTGGAAAAATTCAATAATTTTTATGCCAGTGTTTATTAAAATTCATTTCATTTTCAAAACTGAGCTAAAGCTGTTAAAGTATGTATACATTTTTGGGGGACACCCTGTGTGTGTGTATTTGTGTTTGTGTGTGTGTGAAAGCACTTTCTTTAAAGATCCATATTACCATAAAAATCATAGAGTCTTCACATGGTTGAGTGTTTATACATTTTTTAAATAGTAAAAATCTTTTCAATCAATTTCCAAATGAACTGAGCCTTGAATTTCAGGTCCTAT